CATCCACCATTGTGACCGGTTAAGTTCGTGCCTGAAAGTCCTGCTTCAACAAGAAGAGCCTGCCACCCATCAATGCTGCATGAGTTCCGGTTGTAAGACATCTCATCGATCTCTAAAGAACATTACCGCAAGGCTGGACAAGGGGGGATGTGGCTGGGAGGGCCTGGGCATTGGCGGCCTCTGAGGAGGTAGCGCTACAATTGTTATCAATTACATCTGATACCATATCCCCAGATAATTCAACAGACTGATGCATATCTTCCATTCTTTTAAATCGCGTTGTAGGTAACAAGTCAACCTTCAAAACTGATAAGTAAAAATCCTTTGCCTTTTGAATTATATTCAATCTATAATGTGTCTGAAATCTCTGCTGATAAAAAGCCTGTATGGTTTCATGACAGGATCTTCTGGAAGAATAGACAGCAACATCTCTAGGCATATTTCCTTGACATGCGACCCCTAAATTTACTCTATAAACTTTTTCTCTCAAAATTTCTTCAGGGTCGCATGCCAGAATCACAGCCAGATCTATCACAGCCCCCTCTCTCAGCTTTTCCTGCTCTTTCAATCCTCTTCTCAAGGCAGACTCCAGGTCTTTGTTTTGTAAGATATCATTCTGAACTATTTCCACAGCATCTTCTACTTTTATGAGTCTGTCCTCCATCCCTTCAGCATTTTCAGATAATTCATCCGCCCGTCCCTCTGTACGATCTGCATGAACTGTAAAACCTTGAAAAGCAAGTGTTATGTTTTCATATAATCCCTCTATTTTCTTGTCCAAAAGATCCTCAAATTCCACTCTAATTTGTATTGCTGTCTGCATCAAAGCATCCTGTAGATCTTTAAGTATAATTGACGGAGGGAATGAAAGTAAAGGCATTTTGAATTAAGACTATTGTAGAATTTGTATAACTGGAAATAAAATCGCAGCTTTAGAAAAAGCAGAAGTTCCCAATACATTTTGAAGCCATTTTCAAAATTTCTTCTGAATATAATTTACTCACAAAACAAGAGATACAAATTATGTAGAAGAAAAGAGAAAACTTGAACTTTCAGTAAACTAGAAAAGTCACAATGTATCTCAGTCCATTCAGTAACCGGAAGGAGAGTGAAAGTTTTTCTTAGCAACGCCTTTCAATACAAAGAAACGGCAATTCCGCAGCCATTTTCTTCTTAGTTTAGTTTTATACAAAATAAGGAAGATACTATAATATTTTCTGAGTTAAAGTCTTAAAACATCTAAAATCCAATCCTCCTGGTCAGTTCCGTCTGCTTGTAATTTTACTCACAATCTCAAGTTCTTTAAATAGCAGATGTGGAAGCTGCGTCTCGCTTTGCTCCTAAAAAGAAAGGAACAAAGGCACCATGGGCGCGGAGAAAAAGCCCAGACTCCGAGAGAGCTCTCACCTTTCATCCCCCGACAAAAGAACGGAGGAGAGAGGGAGCTCAATCTCTATCCGGGCAAGCTCACCCCTCCCTCTTCGCCCGAGGGACGAGGTTCCAAGCCGAGAAACAGCTAATGTCCGCTGTTTCTTCAGGCTTTGACGCGACCCCAGGGGGGCGGCTAAAAAAAGCTGCCATCCCCCGCAGCAGTCTCCACCGGAAGCCCCTCTTAACTTTCTTAACTATTTGTAAGTTTGTCTTTTTTGTAAGTTGAGTTTTCTGTTTGTCTGTTAAGTTCTTTGTTAATACTTTAGTCTTTTCTCTATTTTCAAACCTGCCATTAATGGCAATTAAAAGATCTTAGCAAATAGTAATGCAGCTACACAAATATGGACAAGAAATTCAGAACTAAGCTACAATTCAGAGAAGCTGAACAGTTGCTAGAGAATGGTTTATTATATGCCATCAAGTCATTTTCAACTTCTAGCAACCACATAGATAGATTTTGTTTGTGACAATCTATCCCTAACTTGTCTTTTCAAGTCTCCCAATGGTGCTCTCATCGTTACTGTAACTGAGTACATCCATGTTGCTGCTGGTTGTCCTTTTCTCTTTTGTTCCACCTTTCCCAGCAACAGAACATTTTCGAGAGAGCTGAATCTTTGCATAATTTGTCCAAAACAGGATAATTTAGACCCTGGTCATTTGGACCTCAAATGAGAACTCTTGAGATGATTTGTTCAATGATGCATCAGCTTGTTTTCTTGGCTGTCCATTAAGCTACAGTATTCTCAGGAGTCTTCTCTAACACCAAGGGAGTCAACATTCTTCCTACCCTGCTTCTTTAAAGTCCAACTTTTGCTTTCATAGTATCCCAGGGAATATCATGGCTTGCCGTTCTGATCTTTATAGGTACAGACATATAACGGTATTTGAATATCTTTTCCAAGGCCTTTACGACTCCCCTAACAAATGCTTGAGTGCAGTGAATTTCTTGACTGCTTGTTCTTTACTTATGAAGGTTGATTTTAAAAGGAAGGAACTATTCACTCAAACCTATTTACAAAATGCTGATAATATAATGCAGCCTTCCCTAACTTGGCATCCTCTGGATGTGCTGGAATTTCAACTCTTAGAACTCCTAATCAACATACCTGCTCTCCCCTCCCACCACCCAATTTGGGGATTTTCACCCCAACATATGTGAAGGGATTTATGATGATGAAAAGAGATATATTGCCTGATACAATTCACCTCCCCCAATTGTTTGTATGTTAACAATACATACCTGAGCAATTGACTCTGGGTCAAGTGGTTTGTGGTCATTGAAAACAGGATACTGGCCAGATGAGGTTGATCTTCTAATTGGAGGGCTGTCACTTTTTTTCAGAGATTCATGTCTACTAATATTGGTGAGGCTGCTGTGGCCAGGTTTCCGTCTCCTTTCTGGGCTATCTGTTATGAGGCTGTGGTTCTGAAGGATAGTTCGAGAAGTAGTGTGGCTTGCCATACTGGAGGAAACTAATTCCATTGAGGAATTAGTAGGGCCATGTGGTGTATGAACTGGACAGTGTCCATCACTGGTCCTGCCAGGACGTCTGCCAGAAAGTGGGAGTTCAGATCTCTTGCGCTGCCTGCAAGGCAAAAGGAAATTTCAGAAGACAAAATAAAGAATTCATAAATAATTCTTTCAAAACCCTCCCACACCTGGCAATGATGCTGCAGCATGATGATTTAAATTCAGAATTTGAACTCAGAAAGTTGCCCTTTCAAATATTATCTTATACATGACTAGTCATTATTCCTTAATTTCCAAGTTCTATGTGTAACAAAAATGATATATATTACAGGCATTAGTGACTACTATATGTGAAGAAAAATAGATTTTAATATTTTGAAGTGCAATATAAATGAAACAGATTCAATTAATGACAAATAATTGATTATATTTACCTTCCTAGATATACTTCAGAATTCAAATCTGTTGGTGAACTCATATCTTTGGAATAAGATTTGTCTTCAAGTATTGGTCCACTGCTGGTTTCACTATCTGCTTTTTGGCTCAGTGTATCTGAGAATGTATCATCCCTAAACATTAAAAAAAAAACTTATTTTGCAAAATTAGGGTATATAATTTTAAAACATGAAAAGTATCTTTTTTTTCAGTCCCGGTTTTTATATCCCTTTATTTCCATCTATATTCTTGTCACTAACAACTGTTTTGCAAGGAGAAACAACAGGAGCCGAAGATACACTTTTATAGTGATGTTATCATACAAATACTGTGACATGCATACTTGCATCAGAGATTAGGATACATCATGGCAGTATTTGTATGATGACATCTTTGTGTTTGTGTCATTTTCCAGTGATTGTAGTTTGTTGTAATTGCCATTGTTATAGTTACTGTTTTCAGAGGCATTTGTTACATGCATAATCAAACATTGACCAATACATGGCTATCTGGTTAGAGCAGTTTTCAATTCAATATTTAGTTTCTAGATACAGCCTTCATTTTAGATGCCTGCCTAAATGATGATTAAATTCAAAATAATACAATTGTTTATTAATTGTTGAGTAAATAAGTTATAACTTCAAATTAGCCTTATAGGAAGGCTGATGTTAAGGGACAGCAAACTAACTAAAATTAAAATCACAGAACAGGAAATATATTATCTTATACTTATGACAGAATGGCTGGGAGAGAGTAATCCTTAATCCTGCACTTGCAACAGTTGAGCTGTAAATATTTCTGGTATTCTGTATTTTGGAATTTAGAACCTGTAGATCTTCTCCCACCAGTGGAAAATGCTGGTTTGAAAAGAGTACCTCTGGAATTACAATACAATTAACTGTTTCTTACATATCTTGAACCACTATGTATTGGTGGGGTACAAGGCCATCAATTCCGTTATGTCTTCCTTCCCACCAATCATCAGAAGCTCGATGATATAAAAGCAGTGAGGCCCCTTTCTTAAAAGAGAGTTCTCGTGCAGATCTTCCAACATAGTCAAACTTAGCTATAGCTTCTATTGGATCACATTCTGTGAAAGACAATTGACAAGACTTTAAAAATAGCTTATAACACCAAGGGATATGAGTACATAATAAAAATTAGCAAAGCTGAATGAAGAAAATATTATTCAAATGATACATTTTAGGACCCAATAATCTTTGAGGAATAAAGCTATCTTGCTAGGACTAAAGAACTCTTTTTCATGAAATTACCTTATACAAAACTATAGTAAGACCACCTTGAAATATTGTACATAGTTCTGGTCACTGTACTTAAGAATTCATTACAGTTGTAAAACAGCTAAAAAGCACAATCAAGACTAGAGAACCAGAATATCTATCCTATCAGGAGAGATCAACCAATTGTGGCTCTTCAGATTGGACTGAAGAAAAAAGAAAATAACATTGAGATATACCAACATGCATAATATGGAGAGAAAGTTGTCTTTCTTCCACTCTTACTGTTAAGTCCTTGGTTAGACAATGATGGAGAGGCAGACATGCTGTTGTAACAGGAACCTTCTTTATTTCTCCTCCGAACTCCTCAGACCAAAACGGAGGCTCACAGGCCTCTTGCGACTCTCTCTACAGCAAGAGAAACTGTCCGGGTAAACTTGCTGCTACTTCTGCGCTCTTGGTGCCTTGCGCGTGCGCGCAGGCTGGCGCCGGTTTGTCTGGCCCCGGGCAGCTTACAGCAGCCCGTTGCCATGACAACGTCCGAGCCGACACAACACCCCTTCACCCCCGGATGAAACTTGCCAACATACATGCACATACATGTAACATGTCCGCGACCTTTGATGGAACATGGTGCCTTAGACATGCATAAACATATATGTGGATTGCTTGGTAAGCCTAAGGCACCTAAATGGTACCATGCTATTACTTTGAAAATATTCGCCAACACTCCCATACATTACTAGCAGGTTGACAACAACCTTACAAAATCCTCCAGGTACTGTGGAGGCCGTTTGTTATGTTGCGACCTCCTCAGCCCCGAGGAACTCCCCAGGCTCCCTTGTGTACAAGGTGTGGCCGGGCTGACCCTTCTTTGATACCCTGGTGGTCCTGGTGACCTGGCTCCTGTTGCCTGGCCTGCTTGCTTGCCCACCGGGCTACACAGACCAGGACTTTGCTCTCTGCCACATCGTGGCGGTCTGTCTACAGCCATACTACCAGGGCTCTCAGGATGCCATTCCCCATCACTCGGGACTGTGGAATTCTCCAGGTCCACAATGGACCAATCTTGGTTGCACGGGTGTTCACTCCCACGCCCTGTGACCGGGTTGTCTGTGGCTTCTTCAGTGCCCCAATACCCAACCACCCCCGGGTCTGTGCCAGATGAACCAGAGTCATGATTTGCCTCTCCGGCTACTTCCCTTTGTACAGACTTCCTTCTGGGAGCAATTGCAGTATTTGACCAGTTCCATTGATTATGTGCCAGCTCTCTTGTACAGTTTGAGTTGTGAGGACACTCCCTGTTAATCTCCCTGTCTGGAGTACTGATTTGGGTTTGTGGACTGTTGGGATACCCCCTGGGTGACTCCCTGGCTGGAGTATGTAGTGAGTGCTGTACTGGTTCATGTTCCCATGAATTCCCGTTTGGCACACTTGCGGAACCCTGAGACAGACCTTCCCATGGTCCCTCCTGGTCCCCCTCCCCCCCAGAGAAAACCCCGGCATAGGAGAAGAAGAGTCCATTCTTTTCCGCAGCTGGTCAATATGCCGCCGCAGGATGCGGCCGCCCTCCACGGAAACCTCATAAGACAGAGGCCCAGTAACCTTGCAGACGACCGCAGGAATCCAAGGATGACCAGGACCGTAATTCCTGGTCCAAACCGGGGCACCCACTGTCAAACACCGCAGTGCCCGTTGTTGAGACTCCAAGGGTGCCAACCTATCAGGATGCAACCTGTCCAGTTTAGTGGTCAGTCTGCGACCCCAACAGAGTTCTGCTGGGCTTTTCCCAGTAGCAACTGACGGTGTGGTGCAGTGCGCAAGAAGAAAGTCAGCCAACCTGTGGTGCCAATCCCCGTAAGTCAGCTTCTTCAGGGCGTCCTTGGTGATGCGCACCATCCTTTCAGCCATGCCGTTGGTGGAAGGGTGGAAAGGTGCCGATGTCGCATGCTGGATCATGTTGGCTTGAAGGAAAGCCTGGAACTCCGCCGACGTGAACTGCGGGCCGTTATCTGAAACTAAGACATCTGGCAAACCGTGAGCTGCAAAAATGCCTCGCAACACCTGGATGGTCCTGGCAGTAGTAGTGGACAAGACAGGCACAACTTCCAGCCACTTTGAATGGCTATCCACAAGCACCAAGAAGAATTGCCCCTGAAACGGCCCAGCATAGTCCACGTGGACACGTGACCATGGCATAAGTGTTTCCTCCCACCTGTGTACTGGGGCCTGTGGCATTTCTGGCCGTGAACGCTGGCATAGGTGACACCCATGCACATGGGCCTCTATATCCCTGTCTAGTCCCGGCCACCACAGGTGGCTGCGTGCAAGCGCCTTCATCCTGACCATGCCAGGATGGCCCTCATGGAGGGAAGACAAGATCCTGGACCTCAGCGAGGTAGGAATAACCACCCTGCTGCCCCACAGCAAGCAACTCTTAAAGGTGGATAACTCATGCCTCTTGAGCCAAAAACTCTGGAACTCAGGGCCAGGGCTTCTGTCAGGCTACCCCGATAGAACCCAGGAGAGCACACGAGTAAGTGTGACATCAGTGGCGGTTTCAGCCGCCACATCCCTCGCGTTAAGTGGAGATTCAGGCAGCTCCTGAATAGACAGAAGATTAACGGCAGGAGTGGGGTCAGCCTCAACCATTGGTAGGGGTAGCCTACTGAGACCGTCTGCCTGGCCCATTTCCTTACCAGGTTTGTGAATTAAAGAATAGTCATAGGCTGACAAAAAAATAGACCACCTTAACATTCTAGGGGAGATAAACTGGGGAGTTTGTTTACTGGTGGTAAACAATCCCAACAGCGGTTTATGGTCAGTGTAGACCGTGAAATGCCTGCCATATAAGAAATCATGGAATTTTTAACACCTGCCACTATGGCCAATGCTTCTCTGTCTATTTGAGTGTAATTGCGCTCAGCAGAAGACAGGGTCCTAGAATAGTAAGCAACAGGAACCTGGGTTCCATCAGCATTCAAATGGCTGAGAACAGCACCCACCCCATAAGGGGAAGCATCACAGGCGATGCATACAGGTAATTTCTCATTGAAATGAGCAAGTACATCATGAGATGTAAGCAAGGCCTTGACCTCATTGAAACTCCGTTCGTGGACTTTGGTCCACTGCCAGACTGCCTGCTTGTCTAAAAGCCTATGTAGAGGCTCAGCCACAGCAGCCTTGTGAGGTAGAAAAGCATTGTAAAAATTAAGAGGACCTAGAAAAGCCTGCAGTTCACCCTTTGACTTAGGATGAGGAGCCTGCTGTATGGCCTTTAACTTTGACTCAGCGGGGTGAATGCCTTTGGCATCTATTCTGAATCCCAAAAAATCTGTAGAAGTGACCCCTATTTTGCACTTGTTTTTCTTGAGCTTTAAACCTGCTCTTCTGAAACGCAGCAGCACAGCCCTCAATCTTTCTGCTAAATTTTGTATGGATTCTCCAGCAATGAGAACATCATCGAAATAAGGGCAGACCCCAGGAATGCCCCTTAGTGTGCTCTCCATGACGCTTTGGAATATGCCTGGTGCGACATTTACCCCAAATTGCAGTCTTTTAACTCTGAATGCACCCCTGTGCGTTACAATGGTCTGTGCCTCAGCAGCTGCTTTATCAACAGGTAACTGTTGATACGCCTGAGCCAAGTCAAGCTTTGCAAAAATCTTCCCTCCTTTAAGTGAAGCCAGAATGTGACTGACTACTGGGACAGGGTATGCGTGCTGTTGTAATGCCTTATTAATAGTGCACTTATAATCAGCACATATACGGATGTCCCCATTAGCCTTAAGAGGCGTGACTATGGGGGTTTCCCATGGACTTGAATCCACAGGCTCTAAAATGCCTTGTTGGATCAACTTATCCAACTCAGCATCAATTTTTCCTTTTAAGGCAAAAGGCACTCTTCTAGCCTTTACCCTAATGGGCGTGATGTTGGGGTCAAGTCGCAATGAAACTGGAGGCCCCTTGTAGGATCCAAGCTGTGAACTAAACACATCTGCAAATTCCTCGCAGACTTCTGCTAGGCTTTGTGTTTGCAAGCTGTGTAATCCCGTGACTTGAATCCCCAAGGCCTCAAACCAATTGAGCCCTATAAGACTCGTTCTGTCCCCCCCCCCAACCAACACATCCAGGGGACCCTCAAAACTCTTGTGTTGCACTGTAAGGGTGGCCTCCCCCTTTACACACACCTTAGAGTTTTGGAAGTCTGTCAAAATTATATTGGAAGGCCTCAATTTTGTCTGAAACCCACTGCTATTGCAGATCTTCCTGAATGTATGAAGGGAAATAATTGAAAGAGCGGACCCAGTGTCCAGCTCCATAACTAAAGGAATTCCTTGCAGTCTCACCTTAAGAGACAACTTCTTTTTGAGCGGTTTGTGTGTGCCTGTTCTACAAACACTTCTGCGTGACGTGCAGAAGCCCACCCTGTTTTGGCTGGGGACCTTGGTACCTTTCAGGTGTAATTCTTCTTGATGTTGTACCTTCTTTTGTCCTAGGCAAACGGCTGCTATGTGGCCTTGTCTTCCACACGCTCTGCAGATGGCTGAACGAAACCTGCAGTCAGCCCTCTTGTGGCGACCTCCACACCCGAAGCACTTGAGCCCTGTTGAAGCTTTGTCTTTGCTTTCCTTTTTCTTCCTTTCAGTAGATGGGAAAAGATGATCCACCTCTTCTTCAGGATCTTCCTCAGCGTCTTCCTGCGCTTCTTCCAGGTGCACAGAAGCTTCTTCTGCACCGTTCTTGTTAGGCTGCATGTGCCTGACTGCCCCACCTGCCGCCTCTTCAGCTGTGACCTCTCTCACAGCATCTTGGAACGACAAGTCTTTTTTTGCAAAAAGTTTTTGTTGTA